GGCATCCCACCGCCTATAAGGGTGGAGGCACGCATTGTGCTATGTATGAATATATGGATTTGAGATGGTAATAGTTGATTGATGGTAAGATGAACCCTGGGCGATTGGGCCACTACTGGACGCGGTAGTTGGTCGGATCACTGCTGGACGGTGAGACGTAACGCAGCAGTTGGTCGAGTATGTTGGGGTCACTACTGGACGGCGTGACGTAACGCAGTAGTTTACCGGACATGGACTGGACAGTGAGACGTAACGCAGTGCCATTGCCGAGTTTGGGTATGCAACCGGACGACGAGACGTAATGTGGTTGGCATACTAGGGTAAGACACTGGACGGCAAGACGTAACGCGGTGGTCCTTGTGTCTTGTGTTTGAGTTAAGGGTAGAATTCGAGAACTTCTATGAGTTATGTCAGAATAAAGTGTTAAGGATAGAAGTAAATAACTTCTATAAGATAATGATAGGAGTAAAGATATTTCATAAGCTGTTGAGTCATGGTTGAAATAAGTTATTAAGGATGAAAGCGAGAACTACTTTCATCTAAAAAAAGGAAACCCACTAATAATGTGTTTAGTAAGGGTTTGCTTAAGGCAAGCCTTAGGAAGTAACGAAGAGACTGAACCCTTCTCACTCACCAAGTTGAGGATGGGTTAGCGGAAGTGGATCTAGAGAAGAAGTAAGATGAGGCGAGCGGCCGTGCCAGTATTGATGAGATGTCAAGGAGCTGGGTGAAGAGTTATAGTTAAAATTTTATAGTTATTTTATGTTTATGATTATGAGTATATGTACTGGAGATTCAAAGTTCAAGATTCTGGGTTAAGTGTTTTAAGTGTTTGGATCATGATTGCCTTAGTGTTGGGGCTTTTCGCTTGAAATTCTTAAAAAGGTCAGTTTGTTTATTTTAAAAAGTGGTTTGGGTTGCTCCGGAGTAACCAGTTTGAGTTTTGAGTTTTGGTTTGGTTTTCAAAAAGAATCGGGTTGTTACAACAATTGTCATGCATGTTGCTTTATGAATTGGAATAGATGGATTGGGTGACTAGGTAGCCATGTGAGCTTTGAGTCGATCGTTTTCTTCTTGTGTGCTTAAATACCTCTTACCATGGCGAGTAACATCACTGTTGTCACTAGTGAGTATGATGGAGGCATAGGATTAGTCCACGCCCAAATGTTGATTGTCCCGAAATGATTTATCCACTAGTCAACCCCTTTGAGCCCTGTGACTTTGGGGGTCGTTCTCATGTTAGGAGCTTTTGCTTGTGAGCTTTTGCTTGGGGGTCAAGTGTGTCATATAATGATGACTAAGAGGTGCATTAGAATAGTGCAAAAGTTTAGTTCTCATGTGTGCAAAAATGAATGGATGTTTTGACTCGATTACTTGTTGATTACAATTGTCATGCATGTTGCTTTGTGAATTGGAAGGGTGACTAGGTAGCCATGTGAGATTTGAGCCTATCTTTTTCTTCTTGTGTGCTTAGATCCCTCTTACCTTGGCGATTAACATCATAGTTATCACTAGTGAGTATGATGGAGGCATAGGATTAATCCACGCCCAAATGTTGATTGTCTCGAAATGATTTATCCACTAGTCAACCCCTTTGAGCCCTGTGACTTTGGGGGTCGTTCTCATGTTAGGATCTTTTGCTTGTGAGATTAATGGTGTTTATAGAACGACCCCCATCCTTTCTTTGTGTCTATACGTGTGTTGTCCTTGTGTCCCGGAGATTTCGCCTTTGAGTTCCATTGAAGTTCTACATAGGAGGATTGTGTGTGGTTCTTTCTAGGAACGAAAGTGTAAGGAAGTGTAGTGTTGGAGTGATTTCTTAAAAAGAGAGCATTGATCGTTAAAAGTAGTGTGGCAAATGTTTAACTCTCTAGTACCCCCCCCCCTTCAAAAAGAAAAGAAAAGGAAAATAGAGCGAAAAAGAGGTAATAAAACGGGGTAAATAATGTAGAGAGTGCCACAAGGAATCAAAGAGTATGCTCTATGTGAAGTTTCTTGGCACACAAGCCATTGAAACCTCCAGATTGTCTTAGAACTCCTTCACTACCAATTCGAAATGTGATAGCAAGAGTAGACCGAGGAAGAGCGCTTAAGGGAAATTCATGATAGGTCATAGTTTGGAAGGGAGAAGCAAGGTTTTTGGCCGATACTAGTGGGCGTTGTTTGTAAGGAAGGTTCTTAGTCGAAACCATAGAACCTTCGGTTTAAGCGTGAAGATGTAGCACCTCATGATGTGTTTGCCACCACCCAAAAAGCCTTTTTCCCCATGTCCAAGACAATCGCCAGTCATTTGAACCCGTGTCTAAGACCTCCGGACAAGCTAGTGATGACAACCATACCGTGAAATCTAGCATTTAGAGGTTGCCGCCGTGGTGTTGAGACGATAGGGCCGAGTGTTGATGATTGTGCACATTCTTTGCACCAAAAGGTTCCGACCCCACTGGTCAAGAGAGTGAGTGATTCATTCTTGTTTTGCATGTCATATCATACCTCGGTGAGGACCTTGTTGCCTATCTGTTTGTTCCTTGGACTTGAACTATATGCACGGTTAGTTGTGGTTGGTAAGTAATCTTGTTGAAACTTGCATTGATTCATGAACAAAGTGAGAACTTTTCATTTGCCCAATTCTAGTAGCCTCGAATGTCGTTTGTGGTGGATGTCGGTATTGCTTGCAATGGTCCTTGTGTTAATTGCCAATAGCAATTTGAGATTCGCTACTTTGTGACCTTTGATTTATTCCCAGAGAATTTTGATAGGTTGAGATTTTACCTTATGTGAAATGGTTTGCTTGGGGACAAGCAAACGTCTAAGTGTGGGGAGTGATTCGGGCCTAATTGCACACATTTTATCCCCGTTTCCCTTGGGCGTTTGTAGCAATTGTGCTCCGAAGAGGGTGGTCTTACGCTAGGTTTTTTGCGTTTTAGCGTGATTCATGATCTAACAGGTGAAACCAGCCCCGGAGTTGGAAATTGGAAGAAAATGAGCAAAGACCGGACAAAGAGGGTGATTCAGGCAAGGTTCACGGTTTCCCATTGGAGTTCACGGTCTCCTATGGTCATGAACTGAAGCCCAAAACCGTGAACCGCGAAGCATCCAGGACGAATTCTGAAGTTATTGACGCAAGGCGAGTTCACGGTCAACAAGACCGTGAACTCATGTGAGTAAAGCGGTGTGTTTCGACACATCACTCCAAGTTCACGGACGCGTTGAAGAGTTCACGGCCGTGAACTGAGGCCGTGAACTAAGCCCGATCCCAGTAAAAAAATGTGAGCAAAAAGGAAGTGAGAGGGAGAGCCCAAGAGTGAGAAAGTGTCTTCTTCTTCACATTTTAGAGAGAGAAAGGATGAACCAAAGGAGGAAGAAGGCTAGGGTTTGCCTAAAGTGGTGAATTGGGAAGAATCTTCTCAAGAGAAGATCAACACAAGATCAAAGAAGAGTGGAGGCATCTTCATGATGGTTTCTACTTCTTTCTTTTGTGTTCTTCCCCTTTCTAGCATGGAGTAGTCCTCTTTTTTCACTTGGGTGTTGTGAAACCCTAACTATTTGTCATGTACTTGTAGTGTGAATTGAATGATTGTTTATGGGTGTTGTTTAATTTTATGATTGAGGTATTTTTCAAGATGATTGTGCATGTTTGTGCTTAGCAATCTAATTGGCCATTCGAACCTAGGTTAGAGGGGAAACCCCCCTTTCCAAAAGAGGCTCAATTGAGTTGGGATTCCTTGGGCTTTACAAGCCACCTACCTAGGTTAATGTTGGGCAAACCTCTTCTTGAATTAATCAACTAGGTTAATCGTGATTAAGCTGTCCAACCATCGGTTTGAGGGAGAAGGTAAGTCAACCCTCAATTGCCTTAACCAAGAGGGCTACTGTAGTAACCTATAATGTATCCCTTGGTTTGGCAATTGAGAGTGTGATCTTCGACCATAGTTGCACCTCCTAGCGCTTCATGATTGCATTTCCCATAACGTCTCATTTGAGTCCACGTGCTATGGTAGTAGTTAGGGGGAAGCGACACCCGAGTGATCTTTCTCATCTAGAGCTTTCAAACCATTTACCTTTGCTTTGTTTTGATTTAAATCTCATAGTTTTCAACCAAAAACCAATCCGCTAGATAATGTTTCAAACAATGGAAGTAGGGGTACATGGACCGGCTCGGGTTGATATTTAAACATACTTGCCATATATTGCACCCATCTAAGGTTTATACTTTAGCCTTATGTGGGATTTTGTTGTGATATTCGAGACGAGTCACTCCACCGCAATAATCTAATCGAGGAACTAACACAAAAAACTTCCACTACTGGTTTTCAATTCCAGTAAAGAGAAGTGAATCGATTCCTCGACTAAAGTAATCAATTCACTACTTCCAATTAAGGTTGCTCTTTTAACCTGTGCAGAGACTATCGTTCTAGGTTAAAGCAGCAATCACAAGATATATCATGTCAATCATCCAAGAAATCAGGTTCATACAACCATTCCTAACATACACGACTAGGATTCTTCATACCAGATGAAAAGAGAGTAAACTGCATGGAGAGAAGAGAAAGCACAAGGCTTGTAGGAGAAAATATCATGTAAAGGATGAAATTCTGCTCCATGCTGGAAATCGGCACTCCGAGTTTCAACTTAGTAGCATTGTGGCTAAAACCCATGGTCGTGGAAATGGCCTCCAGACCATGGAATTCCAAAACGGCGCGTCTCCCTTTAGCGGTCCTTGGCAAAAATCCACGGCCGACCCTAGGGGTCGTGGATTTGACATCCATACTGGGGAAAATTACTTCCCAAAAAGCACAATCCAAATGTCGATTCCACGGTCGTGGATTTGGATTCCCATACCGTGGATTTTGCCTCTTTGTCCTCCGAATTTGCCTGCTCTCCAGTTACACCCAGACTTGCTCATATGCCTCCATTCATGTACAACGACCTGAAACATCAACAACAAGCACTACCTAGCGTAAAAGGGGCCACAAAGCAACCAAATGTCAAGCCAAATGATCAAGTCTCTACGGGCCTTATTCCAATTTTAAAAATTACTAAACTATAAATTACAAATCTACATAGGTTTCCAATAAATAAAATTACATAAAATACTCTTCTAAAAATTTCTGCATCTTTAGTGACCACCTAGTTTCCGTTACCAAAACCTTATAAAACCGTCGTTAATTCCCCATATTTGCAATCACACGAAAACTCATACAAAACTCAATCTAATTCAAAGGGAAATCGCGTCTCCTTATCTCCATAGCGTGCCTAAATTCTAAAGGTTCGATTTGAACGTGGATTCCTTTGAATAGACTCAATCAACTCCCCAAAACCTTTACCGCCGATCTACTCTTCATGAATTAATGATCCGTGGGTAATCCAATCGACCACATGGACATAGAACGACCAAGGTTAATATTCGTACCTTCCTAAGACACTTGAACGTTCAAATGGTCGAGGAGGACAGCGAGATTGGAAGTATTTTAACGGGCTTGCAAAACGGGGGAACTAACCGCCGGTTACTTCCTCCTTTCTTTCCTTCCTCCTTGCTCCTTTCCTTCCTCTCCTTCGTCTTTTGTTCATTCAGAGCGTTTGGGGTGGGTTTTGGGAAATTGAAACGTGAATTACAACAGGCAGAAACTGAAAGTCTTTTTTATCAAACAGAACACGGGCATGGGACGCGATCATGTTCGAACACGTGCTATCCCCAATCGCCGTACTCGTTCCATACGTCCTTTGAAGTTCCCCGCCGCTGGAACTGCCCGAGTGACACAGCCACGCAACACGGTCATGTTAGAGGCCGTGTTACGCTTCATTCCTAAATTCCTCCATAACGATCCGTTCAATTTATCATTAGCTCAAAACGAGCGTTTGATGGAACACGGTCGTGTTCCCAACCGTGTTCTAGCTTGTTCTGGTCCTGTTGCCTCCAGCCGTCTTCAATCTTTTCGGTCGATCCTTAATCGAATCCAAACCCAAACTTGGGGTGTTGTACATTTTCTCCAAGAATTGCAAACTACTCCCCCAGCTCAATGGAAGATGTTGAGGCCTTCTTAATTTATTTTCCTGCCTTTGGCTCCTCTAAATCAAACTCTCAGTAGGTTTTGCAGTGACTCCGTTTCCCTCTCTCCTAAAAAATGATTTGACTTTGCCAAATGGGGCACTTTACATGAAAACAGACCCATGCCAGAAAACGCTACCAGAAGTGCAAAATTCACTGTTGTCTGATTTTGCTGCTCGTGCATTCAAAATGCTGTTATTTGACTTACTGGAGAAAACACGACACCACATGATTAGCCATTTAAATCTCGTGTTTATCCATATACACTGTTGCGTTTTTTTTTTTTCAATTTTTGGTCATGTATTGTGAGTTTTGACTGCTCTTCTTTGTGGACCTCCGTCCATGATTGCTCCCAATCATGCCTCCGTTGATCCGCCTTGACATATAATCAACTAACACTACTTGGCATAAAATGTGGCAAGAGTACAAGATAACCCCATGGAATCGCAAACAAACATTCCAAATGAAAGGGTAAAGATGTATGAAAATTATGTTATAACCAAAGCGCCAAGATCTCGACCTATTGAGACTCCTTCACCATCCTCGAGCTAACGCCATAAACGCAGTCAGGAATTATATAGGTTTTTAGGTCTATATTTGTGGGAGTATGTGAGAATCTGTGTCCAGATGTGTAACTAGGACCACTCAAAATTAACGCATTAAAAACCAGTGGGCTTGTGACCATGCTTTTTACAAAAGAGCAAGTGAAAACGGGAGATGTGGTTTTACTGTTTTAGTGAAAAGACAGGAAAGCTTTTACCAGCTATCCACTTGAAGAATGAGATTCTCTTCCACCAAGAGTCTGGATTATGGCTTCCAAAAGTTTAATGTCATTATCACGCTTCGCAATCTCCTCTTGCTTTGCTCGCAACTCCTCCATGTGTAGTTGAAATACCTCTACAACCATCATTAACATAACCGTCATCAAACCTCACTCTTCAGTAAAAGGCATTGCTACCAGAAGATAACTCCAAGTATCGTATTTAGCCAACAGAAAATGAAACAAATGATTCATCGGATTCACCAAAGTAATATGGGTATTTTTCAACAAAACAAGCTACCACAGTTTATGCATGTGTTTGTGCATACATCCAAACCGGGAAACCGATGAAGAGAGACACAAGAAGACATGACACTTGGTAGACTTACTTGTAGTGTTTTCAAGTTCCTTAGTGACTTCTTGTGCACGTAATTCAGCAGCTTTCTGTCCGACCTCAGCTTGTCGCTTCTCTGCACGTGCACGAGCTGCAGCTGAGATGGCTGCATCAAGTTCTCTCTCCAAAGTCTCTACCCTTTGTTCAAGAACCTACACAGATATACTGTGTTGGTTAGTAATGTAATGAACAATACTGCTCTGGAGACATGGGCAAAAACGCAATAGTCAAGAGTCATGTGACTGATGCTGCAAGGAAGAGGGACTGCATAAACACCAACAGAATGATAGCTGAGGTACATTTGAGCATGGACGCAAGTCTTTTTTCCAGTAAGATCATACATGATCTATACAAGGGGATCCATATAGTCTACTACATTTCCAAATCAAATCACCATGAAGCACATAGTTTAGCTTCTTCAAGTTCAGATGCAGACAATGCCTTAATGAATCTCCTCCTTACATATAAAGAAGTCACCTGGTTTTCCTGGCCAAAAATGGTAGACATAGTGATGGAAAATCTGAACCCACGTAGATAATGCGAGATAAAGTTGCACTGTAAGCCTCATGCAAGGGATCCTTCCAGCGATCTAGAGTTTCTCAATCAGGGTCTGCACGAGGTATGCTTTAATGGCTTCATATGCTTAATGCTACCGACAAGAATGCAAGAGACTTCACAATGATCCAACATGTGAAAAACAAGTACAAAGAACTTGTCTCTTAATGGTTCAAAAGGAACTCTAGACCCGACCGGAACCACAATGCCAATGATCTTAATAAAGGAACAACCGATTTCGGAAGAAAAACAACTACAACGAAAATGTACAGAATACTAATAAGACACCCTCGATAGAGTACAATCTTGTTAAACTCCACCAGTGAGACAATCGAACTGGCGGTCTTAGAAATTGGCTTATACGTACAGCAGCTGTTCTGTGATTCTCGAGGAGACTAACCATACAAATTTCAGATAATTTGAGAGACCCAGCAGAAGGAATCGGTTACATGGAACAGAACCCACAACCTCCTAAAAGCTGCTGAGCAATAGCAAGATGGCATTGGCAGCTATATTTTCAACGTGTTCATTGGGAAGCAAACAGAACCCCAGATAATGCAACCGTGCAGAGAAGAAAAAGGGAGGAAGTGCTGAAGATTTAAAGAGCGGTACCTTAATCGTGCGGGCTTGTTCCGAGGTGAGTGAGGCTTTGGCGTATGTATCTTCATCAACGAACACGGCCTTCTTAAGGAGTAACTTCTGGAGAGACTCCAAATTAGATGTCATCTCCGTCAAATTCACTATAGCTCCTTGCCATCTCTCCTCGCTCATTGCCTTCATGTCTTCCTTCTCCTTGTCCTCCATTTCTTCCCTTTCCCCTGATCAATTAGCACTCAATTGAAGAGCCGAAAAGCTAACTTATGCTACTGTGACGCACAATCAGACACGAAATTGCAGAATAACGGAGAGATTCAAAGAGTGATGAAGATGATACCAGTGCTCCCAAATCCCAATCCAATATCTTCTCCAGTCGAAGACCGAACTATAACGAACCGGTCTTCTCTCTCGATTCAGAACAGGTTTCTCGCACTCGCAGCCGAACTCACGTTCAATTCTGCAGATTCTTCGCTCCCGGCGAAAACCTGATCTTGGGTTGTCTGTAAACCTGGCAGTCGGGTTGGGTAATTACTAATTTCGGATTGGGAATGTCAGGTTGTTAGTTGTCATGAGTTGGGTTGTGTTGGGCTGATTTCAGGTTAAATATTGACTAAATTTATTGGGTTGGGTTGGGTTGGGTTTGGGTTGGGTTTCGTGTCAGTTCAAGTTATGAGCGTTCTCAGAAATAATATCAAACATGCTTCATAAACTTTTAATGAATACAAACTTTTACATATGTGTGACAGTAGTTTACCTAGCACATGTAAATTAACAAATGATCAACTCCTTTCATGCTAATGAAAAGAAATACGAACACACAAATCGTCAAAAAACAATCACGAAAGTAATACTACTACAATAAACAAATAATGTTTGATTATCTTTGCACTTCAAACTTGTATTTCAAATCCTTATGAATTTTTTAAAACATCTCACCAGTTTACTAGTGATTTTATAATTTTGAGACGGGCATATGCAATGAAAAGGGTCTGATGGGCCGACCCAAAAACCAACCCCACGCGATCCAAAAACTATGGGTTAATCGGGTTCGGGTCATTTGGATTTCGGGTTATAAAAACTTCAACTCATATGCTATTTTTCGGACGGGTTCGGGTCGGGTCCTCATTTGCCAAGTCTAGTTGTCTGAGTTGGATGAGAAATTGATTTGATTTTAAACGGATTAATAGCATTTTATATATCTTTTTTATTTTTTTGGCTAAATTACACTTTTGGTCACTCGAATTATACAAATCTTTCACGTTTGCCACCCGAATTACTTTTCTTTATTATTTACCACAAACTTTACGAATCGTTTCACCGTTAGTCACCGGCCGTTACAGTCCGTTAAATTGGTCCTACGTGGCAGGCAACTATAAAGTTTGACAGTTAACTAGATGACGTGGAAATTTAAAAAAATAAAATAAAAATTAATTCATTTGTCCACCTCATCATTCCACTTACTTTGTGCATATGATTTATCATATTACCTATTTAAAAAAAATTAATTAAAGTATAAAAATAAACAATATTATTGATTTATTCTCAACTTGAATTACCAAAATAAATAATATTATTAAATTAATAAATTAAAAAAATATAAAAATATAAAAAAAATATGATTAATTTATTCTGAAAAAACAAAGAGCCATAGCGCCTCCGTCTCCTTTCTTCCCCAAGCGAGGGCTTCGTCTTCCCCCAGGCGCTCACCCACTTCCAGAGGAACGTCGCAAGGGATCTGGTTTGGTCATCGCCGCGCTCAACAGCCAGAACCCTGAGACCCAGCCGCTGCTTGCCGCGGTTCTCGACTCCCACCCAAAAATACCCGTCGAAGTTGTGGCCAAGGCCCTTCAAGCCGATAAAAATGTCGTCACTCAGCTCCGGTCCAAGTTCAAATGATCATATCACCACACTATGATATCGAGTTCACTAGTTCATGCTGAAGGATAGTTTCACTAATTAATTAGGAGGAAATTAATGGACAAGGTTTTGAGCAGTATGATTTCAGAAAGAAAATTGAAACAAGATTGGAAGAGGTTGAGTGAATTAAACTGAAAAGTGGGTTGATTGGAGTTTTTTTTTATGATTCCATACTCTATGTAATGCACAAGATTACATTATGTATTAAGCGGGGTCCTTCCGGCAAGAGCTCGTCGAGCCGGTTTTCCGCCCAATGCTGGAGTGCCTCCGCGAGACCGGCTCGTACCTGATAGTGAACGCTTACCCGTTCTTCGCTTACAAAGCAAACTCCGACGTCATCTAGCTGGACTACGTATGCTCTATTCCGGGAGAATCCCGGCGTCGTTGACGCCGGCAGCGGGCTGAGTTACTTCTGCTTCTTTGATGCCCAGATCGACACTGTGTTCGCGGCAATGTCGGAGGTGAAGCTTGACGACATCGAGATGGTGGTTTCGGAGATGGGATGGTCGTCGAAGGCCGACCGGAGTGAGATCGGCACCAGCATGGCGAACGCGGGTGCGTACAACGACAATATCGTCCGTCGGATCTTGACCGGTGGAGAATAAATCAATCATATTATTTATTTTTTAAATTTAATTAATTTTATTAAATAGGTAATATGATGAATCATATGCATAAAGTAAGTGGAATGATGAGGTGGACAAATAATTTTTTTTTTAATGTCCACGTCATCTAGTTAACGGTCAAACTTTATAATTGACTGCCACGTAGGACAAATTTAACGGACTGTAATGGCCGATGACTAACGGTGAAACGATTCGTGAAGTTAGTGGTAAATAAGAAAGAAAAGTAATTCGGGTGGCAAACATGAAAGATTTGTATAATTCGAGTGACCAAACATGTAATTTAGCCTTATTTTTTTATATCGGTTTTCAGGTTAACAATTTAACCGGTAACCATACCGATAACCGGCAGTTACCGGTTATAATGTTAACCGGGAAACTTGGTTGTTGGCAGTGGGAAAGATGGCTTCGGTATACCAGACCCCCTACCAGTATATACCGACGGTATTTCGGTTATACCAGATAGCATCGGGGAAGGGCAAATGTGAAAGGAGGGAGTAGAAGAAGGGGAGAGAGAGGAGAAGGATTAGATAGAGATGGACCCAGAAACGGGGGAGGAACTGAAGGACGATGGATTTGGCAGAGATTGAGAGGGCGAATAGCGGATGAAGATGGTGGTGAGGAGAGGAGGATGGAGAGAAATGGCAGATGGTGGGTGATTTGGAAAGGGAGGAAGAGCGACGAGGCAGATGCGGGGGAGGACCAACGAGGGCGGCAGAGGCGTGGTGGGTCAAAAGGGTACGATTGCAGGGGTAGATGCAAAAGAAGCCGATGAAGGCGAGGGGGCAATTGAGTCATTAGCGATCTGTGAAATATCGTCGGGGAAATCCACTAGAATCTGAGCAAGAAGGAAGGGCAGAGCACCGACGGTGGTGGAGAAAGGTCGAGGCGGTGGTGATCAGTGGTGGCGGAAGAGGGATGGGGTCGTGGGGGAAAGAGAAGGGGATGGGTCGGGTTGAAATCGAAAGAGATGTCGTTGTTTTCTTTTCCGATTTGGACTTCTGATTTCTTCTGATGCATTACATAAAGATACAAAGGGGGAGTCGAGCAGCAGCTGCAGAGCAGCTCAGCTGAACAGCAGCAGCCAGATTCAAGCTGGTTATTTCCTGGTTAACCGAACCATAATCGCATTTCTCCCCCTCCTTTGCGGGTAGTTGGTATAACCGGTTTGTAACCATTAACCAGCTACCCGGTTACCGGTTATCCGGTTACAAACCAGTATCTGTATTTTTATCACTTCCGTCCTCTAATGGTATACCGAATACTGGTTAGTCAGTAACCGGTTTAACCAGTAACCGATCGATTACCACCCCTATTGATTACAATGGGAAAATAAGGTCAATCAATACTAATCAAATTGGCGATGAAAGAGCCATATATGCCACTAAATGGGCAGTTCTGTTAGTTCCTAACAATAAAGAGACAGGCAACTTTGTCACGACCTGAATGGGGATGCAACTAGATCCGTACGAGCAGCACCACCTGCAACGCTGCAAAACAAAGAAAACTAAGGCCCAGATAGGTCCATGTCACTGAAAGAGCTAATGCTTGGATAAGTATTGATTCCAGACAAATCACGCTGCTTTGATGAGGTGGCAACTTCTCTGCTTTCAATCTGGCTAAATAAAATCTAAAAAATAAGAAGTAATAATGTATAAACAGTAACAACCAAAAGGAAAATAATAAAGGGTAACCCTTAGTCCCTTACTCAACTTGTCCCCAAGAGGTAATCAGATAAGGATAAGATTAGAGAGGCTTACACGTGGCCATGAGCGGTTTTGCATGCCTTACCATCGCTAACGCAGGATATAATGAAGATCGGAAGGACACAATGATCGGATGCACACTATCGCAGGTACCTTACCGGCGAGATAACCATGATGGAGTTGTCTGATGAATGTGAAACCACTGTCAAGGCTGAGAATTGCCCAGCTAGATAAAAAAAAAGTCGATGGCTTCTGCATCACTGGCGGGACTTTCAACCGACCAATGGACCAAACTGCAACCAACTATGGAAACGAAGCAAAAAACCCCAAAAATTGAAACTAAACAGAAACCAACTCCGTTGGCGGGCCAAGTGGATAGACAAATATGAATGGCGGAGGTTGAGCTATCGAGTCTGAAGAATGGGTCGGTCGTGGTGCCTGATAAAACGACATGTACATTCTCTTGAGCGGAAGGATCATCATGCCATCCCATCAAGACCCACAACCATGGGATTCACATATTTTCCATCTGCTTCCGTGGCTACTGTTGCCTACTGCGGCGACGGCGATGACAATCGATGAGTGGTTTGAGAGCCGTGAAATTCCTACACCAGGTGGAGATCTTGGAGGAAGGTGGATTGACGATGGGAATCGACAATGAGGCGACCTTTACAGACCGGTAGGCGCGTTGGCCGGTGGAGAGGCTTCAAAACTCTCGCATGATGCTTCTAGCAATCCGCTAACCTCCCAGAAGTAAGACAAGAGTCCAGTTTAATGGCAACGACAACAGCAACGACCTGCTTGCTTCTTCCTCCTTCCTCCGACGGCAGCAACAACGTTAGCAGATGGCGGGAGCAGGGGAGCGGAAAAAATATTATGAAGCTACAATTTCTTTTCTAGTATTCTAGAAATGATATTACAATTGTCCTATTTTTATACCTCTCTATTATTGTAAGTTAACAAACTTATTGTTCAACTAGTTGTTTGCACTTATATACCTTTTTATTATAAAAAAAAGTAACAAATATATCCTTTCGTTAAAAAGTCTATCAAATAACCGTTAAAAATATGTCGACAAGGTTTACTATGGGATATATTCATGACTTCACATCTTCTTGTCGAGGATAAATCAAAGTGATTCCCGACGGACGAGTCTTGTTCGTCGCCGACGACTGAGAGGTATGTTTATTTTACTATAGAGTTTTATCGCTTTTGTGCAAAATCGCCATTATCGGCGTTCAGCCACCGGGCCGATGCCGCTCCATGCATTTTTCTTTATGGAATCACACTATCACCAACTTCAGAGGTCAGACACTC